CACCCCCTCCCGCCAGCCCCGCCCTGCTCACCTGTAATTGGTGCTTTTGATGGGGGCCCAGGTGTAGGTGCGCACAACTTCGTCGATGTAGCGCTGGAAGGGCAAAGGGGACAGGCTGCGCTCAGGGCTCAGGAGCAGACGCTGGAGGGGCGACATCTCGCAGACAGGGCGGTGCCAGGAGTCACACGCCAGTCTCTGAGCACGACAAGCCCCCCAGGGGCCAGAGCCCGCATGCCAGGACCGGCACCGTCCCCCGTCCCCAAGCCCTTACCTCATCCAGGGATTTGATCAGGGTCTTGATGACTCGCTGCCCGGCGCTGCCGTCGATCATGCTTCTCCGGATCTAGAGAAGAGGCAGGGAGGGAACTGAGCCCCGAACCCCCAAGAACAGAGCCTGGGGCAGGGCTGGCCGTGCAGCACGCTGCTATCCTGCCCTTGCCCGCCCTGGCTCAGCGCTCCCGGCACACGGAGCGTTGGGGGAGAGCCGGGCACCGTGCCCAGGTCGCTGAGCTCCAAGGAGGGCTGTTCACCCCTCTGGCGGCCAGGCGACTGGGGTGGGGGCAGAGGGTGTTTGCGGAGGGCTGGGTGTGCTCACAGGCACCCGCCCCCAGACCTCCCGGGGGACCACTTTCCCCACAGGACTCAGGCACGGTGCCAGAGGGCCAGCTCCCGCCTGAGGAAGGGGGCAAGGCGGCTGCCAGCCCCTGCCATCCTGAGGAGGCTCCCTGCAGGGCGAGGCAGCCCCCAGCTGCTGTGTCTCACGCCGCCTTGGCCTGCATGTGAGTCCTAGGCGGGGGCACAGCCCTGCTCACCTCCTCCTTGTTCTCGTCCTCCAGCTCAGCATCCAAGAAGTCCAGGGTCACAGGCTCTCGGAAATTGATGATCTGAAAAGAGGAAAAAGGCTGCTGAGAATCGGGCGCACGGGCACCGGAGCCGGGCACCGCGGCATCCACCCTAACAAAGCACCTGATTGGTCCGCGCCTGCCCTGAGGCATGGTGGGTGCTGGGCGATACGGCGACAGCTCGCAAGAGCGAGACAGACCCAAGAGGCTGGGCTACAGCCCTGCCCGGCCGCCTGCCGTCCCCCCCGCCTGCTCCCGGGGGCTCCCCAAGTGCACTGCAGGCCCTGATGAATAACGCTCCCCGTGTCCTGGAGCGGGGGAGGCAACTTTTCCAGATGGGGAAACTGAGGAACAGAGGTGCTGGGCTTTTTCTGCAGCCAGCGCCGCTCCCGGAGAGAGCTGGAGGCAGGCTGGGCCGGATGCTGGAGGAGGGCTTCCTCTCCAACAAAGCTCGTCAGAGGCTGTTTCTACCCCGCGCTGGCCTGCCACACAGCAGGCCCAGGGACCGCTGCAGGGCTATGGCCCCGCCAGCAGCGTGGACACACCCCTAACCCCCCCCAGCACGGTCCAGGAGTGCGGGGCTCTTCTCTGCCCCCACCCGCCGTGCAGGCGCGCCGGGCCGGGCAGGGAAACGCTGCCCAAGCAGGGCAGCCGCGGGGAGGGGAAGGGGGAGA